GAGGGGTACAGCTAAAAACACATATTAGTAAGACTCTGTTCTCTATTCATTTTCTGGAGCTGCTCAGATACTGTAGTGAAGTATTATGTAAGACTGGAAACCTTGAGAAAATCGCCTTTGTAGCATTGCCATAGGTCCAGGATGGCGTCCATTAAGGCATACTGTCATGGTACTCTAAACCTAATTCTCATGGTGTCATGACTGTTTCAAGTGTCTATATTCTCTCTTCGGGCATTCTTCCTATACAACGATATATTTTCTATGAAAAACACAACAGAAGCTACCCTGACCAGTTGTCATGATGCGAGACGACGTTTCGCGCGTTGTTTTTGGAAAACCTGCTGGATTAGCGTTGGGGCGACGACGTCGTCGCCGCATCTCACACGATCCGTGCTCTTTCTGCTTTATCGCCTTCATCGTGTGGCACGCACACCTGGCTGGAGGCCGTTGGTGTCACCAACGGCACGTCGTTTGGGGTTTCATTCATGTCGGCTGCATAGACAATTGACGAGCTAAAGCTTGATTTCAATGCCATTGAAATCATTGCCTTTCCACAATGATCCTTCGTCAGGCAATTCGCCAGCGCAATCCTGATACCCTTCCTAAATTCTCAGAATAGCAATTTCATACAAAGCTACAGTGAAGTTAGAGTCCCAGTAGTTCGCACATCTCCATATGCGAGTAAAGCATATAATAAACTCTAGTATCCTCTTCAGCCCTTGCGATAGAACCTTTCCTAAATAAGAATGAACTCTAACAACTTCTTCAGCTTTGCTATAGAACCTTTCCTGCCTTACCGACCTCCTTCCCCTACTCCGCTTCCATCGCCACCAACAGAATGAGTGACAAACAGTCGTTGCTCGAATTAGAAAGGGAAGCGAATGGATTACGACGGTAACAGTTCTTCCCCCTTTACGGGGTAAAGATTTCTGAATTATCAAAAATCCTGCGTATTTTTAGGGTCGCTTTCTTCGGTGTTGCCATCTCGACAACGGCCACATTGGTATGTATCATCTCGGTACCGATGTTATATAATTATATGCAACACATGCACACTATCATGCAAAGCGAAGTCAATTTCTGCAAATTACGTACTGGAAACATTTGGAAAGAAGTCACTCGAACACAGGTTGGACCTCTTATTGCTTTTTTGCAGCAGAAAAGTCCAAAATTTTCTGATTAAGGTGCTTGCTCAATTTCACCCTTCATCTCGAGGAACTCGACAAGCTGGCTATGGCTATCATCCATCCATGGCTGTGGAGTCAGCACCAATAGGAGTGTGTTGTGGATGCGGTGTAAGCCCTCAGGGACCGCCTGGACTTCCTGGACCTAATGGAATGGATGGTGAAGATGGACCACCAGGACCACCTGGAAAAGACGGTCCAGATGCTCCTCCTCCAGCACCGCAAAAGGAACCAGTAAGCTAGAATACACTCAATTCTGAAGCAAGTGGAATGTCAATGTTACCTAGGAATGGTGCTTCGATTGTCCCGATGCACCTGCTGGTCCCGCAGGTAAACCCGGTCCAAAGGGCCCGCGTGGTGAAC